AACAAGATGAAGTTTTGTTCACACTATATGGTCATGCTTTGATGCACACACTGCTCTTTAGCTGACAAAGGATACAGAATAAAATGGAAGGAAAATGGACAGGAAGTGGCAAGACAAGGGAGCAGATAAAAACATAATGAAGAAGCAGAATGGTCTTGTGAAGGTACTAGTTTGAGTTCAGGTCCAGAGTTTGCACAGATGTCCTGTGCGACCTTGGGCAAATTAGTGAACTTCTCTGTGCCTTGGTCCCCTTTCTGTACAATGGGGAAAACTGTACTCCTTTTACTCGATACTTTGAAGGGTGTTTCAATACTATCACACTGGGTTGGGCCCTTCTCCAGTTATTTTTAAGTGGACAGCATCTCTCTAACCAAATAACTTTTAAAAGCTTTACATTTAGAATACACAGTATGATGATTTTTTTTTAAAGCTCTGGCCTCTCTTTTTTTTTTTTGCATTTGGCATGAGACATTATGGCCCATAAATATAAGATTAAACACTCATCTTGACTTTTCAGATCATCTATCTTTCCATCAGTGAAGTTTTTATTAAACTATTCATCATTAAACTTTTTATTTTATTACTTTTGTGTATAAATTTGTACGATAGTTGAGATACACTCAGTCTCGCTCCACTGATGTTAACAGTTCTACTAGGGATGAATTTGGAGCAATGTACCAGTATTATAGAGTTTTACAGCATCTCTAACAGCTTTACTTTCTTATTGCCTGCACTTAAAAATAAAGTTAATTTGTTTTAAACAGTTTCTGCAAAAGAAGACATGGCTATATTTTACAGACAAGGAAAGCAAACTGCAGTATCCATAGGCAGACCTAGACTAGTGATGTAAAGGATAAAGTAAAATTATCACTTATCTAGGCCCTGGTTGAGCAAAGCACTTAAGCGTATGTTTAACTTTTGATAGAGTTTAAGGAAACACTTAAAGTGAAGCATGCTTTTAAACAGTTTGATTAATGAAGATGGATTTACGTGGATGCTTATGCTATGCTGAATCAGCATGCTAAAAGAGATTCCTTCATCTCCTGCTTTTTTCTTTGAGGGTCCCTGTTCAGACCTTGGTAGTTATTGTTTTTACTGTGAGGCACTGGCAGGGCCTTCTGTTCTACATGAGCTCCTAGGAATTTTCTAGTTGACTTACTGCAGTTAGAAAGGATCCCTCTGTTTGTTTGTAGATGAGAATATATTTCCATAAGCTATCCTTTGCATCCCAGTATTTTGCATGTATTAGTAGGGCCTAAATTTAATCCATTATAATAGCTATCCTAGAAATACACATGACACACACTATACCGAGATAGGAAAAACAAGCAGCCCCACACCAGATACAAGCCTCAGCTGCTCATAGGAAATATCCCACTTAAGCAGTTTATTGCATCTAGCTGATGATTCCTTCTGTTGACATATGATATGTCTGTTTACAATGGATATCAAGAAGGTAATAAAGTAGTGAAAGGAGCAGAAGAAAGGTGGATAACAGGAATGATAAATTTGGCTTAGTATTTTGTCAGTTATAATACCTAGCTCTTACTCAGTCTTTTCTCTAAGTCTCAAAGCACTTTAACAGAAAAGTGTGAGCGGAGAAATGGGGTTCTGAGCAACAAAAAGGATGTACCCAATGCCTTCTACCAGGACAGTACTAGTCTACCTGGATGTACCCAATGCCTTCTACCAGGACAGGGGGAGAACTAGGTATAGTATCAGCTCTCCTAAATTCCAGTCCAGCACGCTATCCATTAGGCCACTCTGTCTAGTAAGAGATTGGTGCACATGGACTATGTAACTTAGATCATACATTTCACAGACCAAGAACCGTATCTTCTGATTTGGCAGCAGAGGAGTTGGAAGACAAATGGTAACATGAGCCTGAGCTAGATTTCACTGAGGTTAGTGGGAAATAAGTAACATAACCCTGCTATTAGCTCTTGGGCTCAGGGCTCTATTTTTTAAATGTTTTAATGCTTTCCAAAGTAGGTCATGTGTTACTAACGAATGACCCTCCTGCATTACACTAATATTTAGATAATTGAGATCACTCTACTGACTACAGGGTTCATTTGAAGTCTGATCGGTATTTTTGTGTATGCATACAGAAATAATTTGTGGGTTGAAAATAGTCATAAACTCTTTTGGGAATGGCATTTTTCACTTTCAATTTTTTTTTGCTGAAATCATCTTGTTTTTAATAAAAAGTCGGCAATATATTTCCTCTTGATACTGTGTACAATGAACCCTTAATCAATCTGAAGCTCTAGTAACAAAATTAACTGGTTATTTCAAAGGTCTTCTTTTGTTCATACCAATAAAAAGTAGGGGTTTTGCTACTGCTGCTAAGATTTCAAACGGGGGCAATTGTGGTTGTTTTTATTATATGTTTCCTTACAATCATGCTTTCCCATTCTAATGGGCTTCTAATTAACTCAATACCAAGATTAAGATTTAAGGCCTCTAATCTACTCTATAAGGCCTTTCCCTAGGATTTATGCCTAGCAATGATGCTGGTCTCACCTAAAAGGAGATATTAAACAAACTGGTAAAGCAACAAATAAGTGGATCTCACATCTGCATGTATTTCACTCAGTATTTACATACCATAATTTTAATTGCTTTTCTTTCATCAGTTTATGCCCTTGGCCGGAGCGTTCATTCTTTATGTTCCTGGTCCACAGAAGGTTCCCTATCACACACAATTCTGTATTTAAACAGTACACCAAAACCCTTTCCATGGGAGGCTCCAAAGCTAGGTTGAAAATTCTGTTCCTTCCTTCCAAAGCAGTTGGAAGACTTTTTATCAAGAATAATGCAGAATAATCTTTCATTTCACATGTAGGAGATGCCTACAGGTTTTTGGCTGCCCCGAACAACCTAGAACATGTTCATGTTCTTCTGCTCCCTCAGTCACGCACAATAAAAGTTACTGCTGTAGTGGGCAACTCCGAGTTATTTTTACCTTTCATGCCCTTGTGAATTGGGTCTTACAAATGGGGAAACTAGCAGGGAAGTTAGCAGAGGGTACAGAAGTCATTATTGAAGCCAAAGATGGAATTTAGGAGTTCTTAGACAATTTTCCTTTGGAGTGGAAATTATTTCAAGGAATGTATCAGGTTGTTATAGAGAGCTCCCCTAGTGTCCTTGACACTTGGTGGTTTAATAATGACAGAAGGCCTATAGTGGATAAAACAGGGGTGGGCAAAATGCGACCCGGGGGCCAGATGTGGCCCACCAGGCCATTCTATCCGGCCCACGGGGCCCCTAAAAAATTTAGAAAATTAATACTTATCTGCCCTGGGCTGCCTGTCACGCCGCCCTCGATGGCTTGCCAAAACTCAGTAAGTGGCCCTCTGCCCAAAATAACTGCCCGCCCCTGGGATAAACTCTTTGGGGCATGGATAACCTTTTTGTCATTGTATCTCAGTACATTCCTGACTGACATCTCTAGGCCCTTCTGTAATACAAACAACAGTGAGATCAGTCCCATTTTCAAATCTTTACTGTTAGTAGTTTGTCTCTGTATTCATCCTGAAAACTGAATGTGCTTGCTTCTGACCACTAAAAAGATGGCACTGTACTTAATGTTACAGTACAAGGAAAGAGCTGGCAAATGTGATGCAAGAAGTCAGAAAGTACAAACTTGCGTTGAACAGCGACCTTCTGAAGACTTGCAGCAAGAACCAGCTCAGAGTACAACGTACCCGCACTGTGGGCAGTGCCTTTGAGGTAAGCTCTATAAAAATGAGACAGCTTTTGAGTCATCTTGGTATAAAATCTTAACTACCTTGACAACACCCCCTTAATCCACAATTCTACCTGGTTCACAGGCAATCCCTGTCTTTTGTATAGAACAAAAAGGCCATACTAACAAAGTTTGGCACCCAAGGCAAAGGCCACAGTGGCAGCCTGTTCCCACCCTGCACATACATCCAGGGGGCACCCCAGTGCCTGGAGTGGTTGCCCCACTTGCCCCCCATTGCTACAGCACCCATGAATGTTGTGTGCCTCCTAAGGCTGGTGGAGCACAGCAACTGCCCACAGGCAGTGGTGGGGGTGGGGTGTGGTGGGGGTGAGTGGGAAGCTCCCACAGGGGGCCACAGTGGTGTCAGCAGCAAAGGGGGGGTGGCGAGTGTTGACCGGTGACGCTGGTGGAGAGTGGCGATTGGCGACCGCCTGCAGACACTACCGGTGGTGTTGGTGGCCCGGAGGGTGGTGAACAGTGACCACCTGCAGGCGCCGCCAGCAGCATCGGCAGTAGCCACCCACCTTGGCGGTGGGGTGCACCGCCCATCTCGGGGGGAGGGGGTGCACGTGTAGCCAATGGCGGCACCCACGTTCACGTCTTAGCAGCACTTCAACCACCCCAAACCAGCCCCGCTTGCGTCTAGGCAGCTTTCTGGGGTCAAAGTTGCAGAAAGGGACCCGTTCCGCCTGCAAACCCCTCGGGCGTGCAGACGTCAGCGCCTGCCCAGGTGAGCAGGCCCCTGCAGCCGCGCGGACTCAGTCCACGCCAGACAGCATCCGCAGCTCCAGCTGCCAACCCACCCTCTCCCCAACGGGCGGGGGGTGGAGGGCTGAGGGCTGTTCAGCACGTGACCGGAGCCGAGGGGGCGGGGCTGCGTTCCCGCGGCCTTTCGCACCGCCCCCACAGGCGGGGCGGGGCGGGGCGGTGCAGCCAATCAGGGGGCGGGCGGGCGAGCGGCTGCCCGGCCCGGCTCAGCTGGG